AGGGGTGGGAGGGAGGGATGGAGGTCGGTCGGCGCGGGCCGGGCCGGGCCGCCTGACGCACTTTCTGCCAATTCCGCAGAGATTTCACCGACTCTGGAGCCTCCCCCTGTATTTATGCGTCGTGGATGTGAAAAGCTGGCTCAAAAGGGACGAGACGTCTGAGAAATAACCTTTTATTGGATAAAACGAGTGAGGGAAGAGGGGACAGAACTGCCAAGAAAACAGCTTGAAGATGTATGCCTTTTAAATACAGAAAAGTTACACAAGACTTTTGTCAGTAACCACAGAGTAACATCTACGTGACAGTGTAGCCATTCTGAGCATGCACTCAGTCCTTCCTCCTAAGAAAACTAGGCAATTCCTACCTGGATTCGTCCATCATAAACCCAGAGAACTGCAAGGTTTCTAACTAGGTGGCAAACAAGCTCCCTCCAAAACAGTGATACAGAGCGTGCACGTGTCGCTTGCAGGGATCCACAGCCAAGTAGGCGAACGTCTGGTCGTGGCTTTTGCTTGAAGGGTAACACAGGCCGCCATCGTCCTGAGAGGAAGGAAAAAAACCCAACAGTATTAGTGGCAACATGGATACCCACGAGAGAATGGATAAAATCCGAATGAAGTGTATCGTTTTGTTCCAATTGTAACGTTTTACCTCACGGCAGATAAAACAAATGCACCATAGTTGTATTTAAGCAGCATTACATCTCCGTGAGGATCCTGACACTACAACATGCACAGAATTCTGTTTGAATAGCTCCGCTAACCTTGAGGTAAATGTAATAATGATATAAAATGTAAAGTTAAACATGTAAGCATGTGCTTACACACTTAGAGCCTAAAATACAGATGATTAAATATGCAGGGGTCCAATCATGGTTCCTCTGGAACAGAAAAACATTTAGAGACTCTGGTTTAATCCATGAAGCTGTTGTATCAGTAATTCTTTTTTGCTTAAGGTTTGCTAATGCGGCTGTTCACTTCCAAATACTTGCGTTTAAGGAAAACCCTCATTTCAGCTCTTATTAACTAACAACTGTGAACTGTTACTGAATACAGTTTGTGTGTCAATCCTCAGAAAGGATTGGAAGGGAATCTAGGCACCCAGCTCCAAAATCCTCATTCTGAACAGACACGTTCAGCTGACAACCAACACAAGATCTGGGCTTTTCCATTTAACATCCTACGTCTGCGTATGTCAACGGAAGCCTCAGCGTTGACAGAGCAGCACAGCTTGACACACGCTTCAAATCCAGGAGGGATCCAGAAACCAGATGGGGGGATTTTTGGGGGGTTGGGTTTTTTTTTTATTCATTCAGTCTGGTAATTGAACACCTACAAGACCAACAAGCACGTAGCTGACACCTCCTTTCTTTTAAAACATGTAACAGTTTTCTCCTGCTTCCCAACACCTTTGTACAACAGTTGGAGATGCAGGTTCTGTTCCACGTTTTGCCTGAAGGAAATTGCTATGTTGCATATATTGTCCATTTTCTCCAGGAGAATTTTAAACTCCCAGACTACAGACTATTCCAGATTAGAGGCACATCTCTCACATTCTGTTGTTGAATCTGTCTTTCTTTGCACAAAATAATCCACCTTTTTTTGAACCAAGGAAACATGAAAACTGTAAACCTCTGAGTGGTAAAGCAGTCAGCTTAGAAAGAAACTAAGTTCCAGTTTCTACTCCAAGGACCATTTGTGAATTTTATCCAGTAGCTGTTACTGGCACCCCATTTACTCCTGTTATTTCCAAGAGGATGAACCCCCTACTTTCTGGTGTCTTCCTTTGAGGGATTATTCAAGACCATAAATCTTCAATTAAGATAAGCACCACCATAAAAAAAAAGCATTGTTTAAGACAGGTAGAGATTTGATAATGTGGGGTTTTTTTCAGCATTTTCCAATGGTAGTCAAATGCTACAAGCTAAAAATAGTGTTTTATTTTTAAGCAATGCCACGTACAAGTTCCATAGCTCCAATTTTCAGATGTCTAGCTCTCTTCAGGTGTTTTTTACGGGTACAGGTGTAACAAACACTGGATTGTCAATTGCAGAAAGGAGAGCAAGCTTTAAGATTTCACAGTACTCAGCATCACAATGCCTTTGGAGTTTAATCCAAAAATAACCTAAGCTCATGCACAAAACCAAAAAAAGGCGAGGGAAGACCAACATCGAGATGTGATTGCTAGTTATACTTTTTTCTTATTGCTGCTTGAGTTCCCACTCCTGCAGTCCTTATGGAATAGATCGATGTCAGTTAAGGTTTTGACTGTTTAAAGGCAGTGTTAGCACACTAAAATTTTTGTTCAACAACTCAAGAACGAAAGTGAGTTAAGTTCTGGTGAGGAGGTATTTCAAGAAACTCCAGAATACACCAAACCTGGTATCAGGAAAATAACAAATATAATCTAATTAAATGAAAAGGGTTCTTAAATTTGTTTTATTTGGTATAAGAGGTCATAAAACCCCTAAAATACTTGAGCATAAAGGCTCTGGAATTAACACAGACTTACTCTGGTTTTAAGAGCAATAGGGTCCATGTACATGAATTAAAAATTCCATCTGCAGTGTGGACTTTGGTCCAGATGTGCAGGGGGTGTAATGATTGATCTACTGATGTTAGAGTAGAATAATCTTATTTTTTCTTTGTAGGCATACAGATAATCAGCTGATGATTTAAGAGTATATATGCACAGCATAATGCATAGCATAATACAGAAATAAAGATACTGCTCAACATCTCTCAAAACGGCATCATTTAATTAACAATTTAAAAAAAAAAAAAGCCTTTTTGAATTAACTATGTATTACACTGATTTCTAACACTGCCATAGTCGGGGTTCAGGTAAAGAAAGTTCTACACCAGCAGTTAGCATCCAAATACTTCAGCTGTAACAATGTTACAGTTCTCAAGGGTATTTGGAGTTCAACGGAGTACTTGGACATAAGATTTAAAATTATTTCTCTTGCCGTGCCCAGGTCTATCGAGTTTTGATGCTAAACAGATCTACAGACATTTATAACTACACCTGAATACCTTGAAATACTTACATCTCTAATAGTGTGCTTTTTTAGGTATTTTTTTCCAAACAAAGGCTTCTTAGCCACAGCTTAAAAAACAAATAGAAACGAAAGGATGGTGTCAGGATGGTGTTACATAAAGTTCTCAATTCCTGATTCCATTTGTACTTGTGCAAATATACAAGTATATCTATTTGTCCATTTATTAATCCAGCTTGCAAAAACATGTGTTGTTCTAACTTCTCAGCTGCTCTTCAAGTCACTTTTACCAGAACAGCTTTTTTTTAATTAATGATTTCTATTAGCCTAAGAGGGTATGTCCACTTCTTTCAGATATAAACCAAGAAAACATGCCTTAAAAATTGTCAGCTCAACATTTAGATTATAATAATGCACTCCACAGTTATTCACCAAATACTCAGTAGTATTTGACTACTGCAGAAGTGTAGTTATCTCCTTCATCACAAGCACAAGATATTTGTGCGCTGGTAAGTGCCCGTCCCGTAATTTCCAAGTAGAGTTTAAAGAGTTTTGATCCACATAGCCATCAAACGATCTAGCCATACCCATTTAAGCCTTTCTCTGTTCTGGGAGAAAATTCTTCAGGATGTTCTTGAATGCAAACCAGAATTCCAGAATTCTCCTTCACCTCACAAATTTTCAGAATGTGCAGTAAAGCCCAATTTTTCCCCAAGGCTACAGCGAGGATAGCATGCTCTGTATTTACATTGGATTTGCTTTTGTCCATCCACTTTTTTGTTTTCAAAAGTTGCCAAAGTTTGTCTTTTTTTCTTTTCTTTTGTTTTAATACTGACGATAGTTAAGGTATGGCAAAGACAGTTAGGGGAGCTCTTAAATACCATGCATCTGTCTAAACACAGAAATCTGCAAGGTTCACATCAATACGTTTGATTCAGAGACAGGGAGGAAACAATAATAACAGAAGAACATCAAGTTATCAGCGTTTTGCTTTTTTAATTTTATTTTTATTACAGTCTGCCTAGTAGAAAGGTAAATATTGATACACCCATAAAGTGCTTAATTTCAAAAACCTTTCAAAAGCCTTTTATAAATCACACATAGTACTTAAAAGGTGATGACTCACGGATGAACAACTGGGCTATTGGCAGCTTACAGGGAAGTTTGTGCCATCTGAAGCGACATCAGCTAGTTCTTTTGAAAGTGGGTACATTATCTGACATTTAATTATTACATATTTTGGTTAACGGAGAAGAATTTGGAGTAGTTCGTCCTGATGTAGCAATTAAACAGCAGATATGCTGAATCTAGCAAACATGCACCCGTTCTCAAACTTATCTCGATTGTAAAGGTATGATTTTGCAAGAGAAACAGACAGGAATGAGACTTGACAAGGGAGGGGAAAAGAGGTTAGCAGTCACCTCACCACCCTGGACTTTTTGTATACTGAACTTCCTTGCAGTCTTTACAGAACCAGATGCAATACAAGCTACTCAGAAAGCTCTAGCAACATCTCCAGAAACAGAGCTGTACAAAGTCAAGAGTGGATTCTTAATCCTTGCTGCTATCTTAAGTAGATCTAAAACCAGAATTACTCAAAGACACGTTTTTTTCATAAACTAGTTTCTGGGTGACTATTATGACTGACTTCAAGTGTAATCCAGTAAACCTATTTTTAGTGAGCTACCAAATAAAGCTTTAGTTGGTGGTTATTGATGAAGAGTTAGTA